ATATTAAGTATGATTTCTGAAATAAATGAACATGTAATTAAGAGAATTTTGTAATATAATATAATATAATATAATATCCAGAGTGTTTCCCTGCCTTTGGCCTCAGATAGGCTCCAGCATTCTCATAACCCTAGCGGTTTGGAGGATAATATAATAATCAAAACAATGTTTCTGAATGTCAACTATCACTTCCGGTTATTATATTATATTATATTATATTATATTATATTATATTAGTTTCACTACCTCTTGCAGTTATTTTTAATTTAATGTAGCAAGAAATGGAAGGTAAAAACTGAAAAAATGTGACATTTACTATGTTTCTAAATTAAGTTACAAGTTAATTAACAGACATTTGTAATACAATATAATATAATACAATATATTGTGTTATGTTATGTTATATCATATCATATCCAGGGTATTTCCCTGCTTTGACCTGAGACGCTAGGATAGGCTACAGCATTCCCACAATTCCCACAAAGTTGTTTTGGAGCATGTATAGTATAATATAATATAAAATAATAATTAAAGCAATATTTATGAATGTCAGCTTTTACTTGTAAGCTTATGATAGCTTAATGTGCCATGGATGTCCTTCAACACAAAATCTCATGTATTATTTATATACCAATTTTGTCTGTTAATGAAATTGTAATTGAATTCAGGAAACAGACTATTTCTTTCTTTTTGATGGAAAAACTTTTCGCTTAATATTTTTCCTGTTATCATTCCTTGTATTGACCACAGACACATGTTATTTTGTCAGTAGAGATATTAATCATCTCATGGGGCACATCAGCCATAAAACCATAATGGCTGGGATTATAGCCATATTGCTCATTTGCACTACTCCTTCTCATAGACCAACTAGGTTTAAGGGAACAGAATTTGATGGTCACATCAGCAGATAGTGGACATCTGTTTTGCTCGGGGAGCAGCATTGGTCTTTATGTGACTACATTATCCATTCATTAAGGAGAATATCATTGCAGTGAGACCATTAAACTGGAGATGTTAAGAGACAACAGCTTGTCCCTAAGGATGTAATTCCATTCCAGATTGGGGCAGTAAAGCACCTAAATACCTGCTGCCCTTTGTTTTCCGATTAAAGTTGTTTGACTTGAGGGGATCGAGTAAGTGTTGGGTGGGGTTTGGACAGACTGAAATGGTCCAGCGTGAGCGGTCCAACATGCTGCCATAAATTGGGGTCACGTCCCATGAGCTAATCAGACGTTCGCCAGACCCGAGAGAGGTTGGCACTTGGCAGAAGATAGAGCGGACCTTAGAGAGACAGAACAGGAGGAGCACGCTCACTGAAGCCACTATGACAAGTTTTCATTCACCTGCACTACTGCTGCCTGTCCTTCTGCTGTGGGCTGCGTGTAGTGTGTCAGACGTGCAGGCTGATGTGAGGACAGTCAAGCTATGTGGCCGAGAGTTCATCCGTGCCATCGTCTACACGTGTGGGGGCTCCAGGTGGAGGAGGTTCAGCAGTCCGCAGGATATGGAAGGTGAGTTTTCCATAGCAGAGATTCATGCTAATTCTGAAAACATCATCATGTGCCTTAAATGCTGGTGTCAGCGTTGGGCTTTAGAACAAATCTAGTTAGTTTATATATGAAAAATACTTTTTTTCCCTGTGCAAATGTATTACATTAAACCTCTTTCTATATAAAATGAATAGTAGTTAATTGTCTGTTTCAATCATGTAAATGCAATCATTAGAAATATTCCACAAATGTACAAAAAGATGATCTAAAATTGTTCTAAAATAATAATTGTTGTATGTAAATAAGGATTTTATTACTAATATCATATTTCTTCTATCAACAGCCTCTGTCACCCTTTGGAAATTCTCTTAGTTTTAACTGAATCCAGATTAATAATTAAATGAGTGTAAAATAATTTAAAGAACTGGCAATTAAGATTATATAAGAAAAAGGAAGATGGAAGGTATTTTTAAAAATATTAAATATTAAAAAATAGTCAATATTTGGTGATATTGTTCCATATTTATATATATTTAAAATATTTATTAATATATAAACATAAAAAATACATTTTAGTACGTATATATTTAAATATGTGTCAAATATACAGTAAAACAATGAAAAAATACATTCTAGTTTGTACAAGTATAGAAAACTAGAATGTATTTTTTTCTATATTTCTATATACTGCTTATTTGGCATTTATATTTTCTCTAAAACTGTTCTAGAAGTTGCTAAGAAAAAAGTTTCTGCAAATGACCTACGATTGTAGGAGTATCTAAGCATCTCTTCTTCTTTCTTACCCTTCAAGTCTGATGATATTTAACAGAGCACTGCTTTAATTGTATCAGTGAGATCAAGTCTTCTCCAGTCAACAGATAAACAACGTCTGGTGATATTACATTCCCATTAGACTGACACAAGCTGAGTTAATGCAGAAAACTCCTGTGTCATTTTCACAGTTCAGCAAACATGCTCTCCTGTCTCTCAAGTCTGAGTAGATTCAAAAGTTTCCAACATAACTTTGTATTTTGTGTTTGTCATTGCACAGGGTTTTTTAAAGGAGATCTAAGCAGTTCTGAGGATCTTAGTGAGAGTCTGGGATCTGACCTGACCAGGCGAGACCTGAATAACGTTTGTTGTCAGTTTGGCTGCAAGAAAAGTGACCTCACGTTGCTCTGCTGAGAACTGAACCTGTGTTTTTCTATTTGTCTCACTATATGTTTTCTTCCACATCGAGTCCAGATGAATATGAACACCTCTATAAGTGTACTCTAAGTGTACAGTCAGTTGTGATTCATATAACAGCTTAATTTGCCAGTAGATGATACTAATTTATGTAAAAAGCATGTCTAATTTGGGATTATATCATTCTGCTTCACTTGTACTCTAAGCTGCACCATGAAAAGTGGTTTAATATCAAGTTACCAACAGCAGTGAAATCGCATAATGAGGTGCACAGCAGTAATCTTGCATTTAAAGTGTTTAATTGTAACTTGTATTTTGCAAACTTTGTCAATAAACATTATTGCATATGCATGCATCAAAGGTGTTTATATTCCCCCAACAAACCTGAAAATCACCAGTATGATTTCACAATATTTTATTGTCTGACTCCATAAGTTTTTGGTGGTTAAACCAATTTGGACCTAGCTGAGTATTGATATGAAACTATATTAAAATGTTCTGTATTAAATTAAATTATGAATTAAATATGATATTATTACATTTCAGGCATAATATTTTACAGTAATATTAGTTGATACATTTTAAACATAACATAATACATCCACTTATCAGGCTTATATGTTTTATTGTTTTGGAAAGAGCAAAGTAATCTCAGTATCTCAGATCTTTGTTAACATTTTTTGTACAAACACAACTTGCACATGTTGCTGGGAAGAGATGATTTACACTTACCAGACAACACACACACACACACACAAACTCTTCCTCCTGCACATACACAACTTCTCACACACACACACACACACTCTCCCTCCTAC